TAACTACCAGGTAGCAGCTGAATCCTGTGTTGACATTCCTCAGGCAAAGGGAACTCTTCCTTCATGAATGTCAGCATGACAAGGTCTGATCCAGGTGACATTGCTGCAGGATCCCTGCCTCAGCTGATGTATAGTTACTGCTTAAGCCTTCCAGCTAAGTGATAGGGATCCCCCTTCTCATCCTTCAACCTGCTGGAAAGTCACTTTCTCCTTGAAGCTTGCTCCGCTACACCTGGGAGCCAGGCATAATGCAGCAGTGCAAAAGCAATAAAAAAAATATTTGAGCTCTGTCTTTTCTGACTATTCTCTTAGATCTGTGATTTGCATTGGATTTTCCTGAGCAACAAACAAGGAAGAGTATTAGACGGTGACTGTATCCTACTCTAACCGCTCTCCAGGAGGCTGTGACTTGAGCAGATCCCTGCAGTCCTGATCATGGCCTGGCTCATGCTTTGCAGACAACCTGCTCTGGAAGGCTGTCTAATGAAGTGCAAGAGAAGAGGTGATGAAAAGCAGCAGAACACTGAACAAGGCGAAGTACAGCCAGGGTGTGACAGCCTATGATGTTGCTGAGGCAAGTCTGAAGCAGGTGAGACCACCTCGTGCTTGCAGAAAGGGCTGTTCTAAATATGCCCGCTCAAGGACGAGCCCTTTTGTGCACCTAAAGCAGGTCCTAAGACAGTGTGGTTGCTTGGGATCATGGTCACTGACCTTCACAGAGCAGGCCTGGGAAGTTATCACAGGCTGCCCTTGGAGGAATTTGCATGCCCAGCCCACGCTGGGCAGATCTGGCAGCACGGAGCCAAACTCACTTTCAGTGCCGTCAGCCTCTGCCTGCTCTTCTCGCTGCTTTTGCTTGAACTTCATGTTGCCGAAGTGCATGATAGCGCCCACTATTTTATAGGAGCCGTATTTTTCATCATTGCTGAAGCCCAGGATGTCCATGGCGTGCTGAGGAGAGACAAGCAGTATAGATAGAACAAAATCACCACTCTGAGGTGAGTGTTGGGTCTCCCACTGTTTCCTAAGGCAGTCTTCCTATCTTGGGGCTCTGGGCAGGGTGCTGTATCTGGTGGGCACTGAGCCAAAGAATCCTGTCCATGGGATTTCGAATGCAAGTCAGCTTGCACAAGATCTATTTGAAAGCAAAAGAACTAGCCTAGCATCCACAAGCAGGAGGTTTTCCAAGCTGAGGTTTCACCTTCTCATGGGAGCCATGGGAAGTGTCCTTCCTAATGCAGGGAATTACTCTCCCTTCTCTGCCTGCAAGAGGCTGTCGATGGAGACCAGAGTCACTCTGCTCTTTCTTGTAGGGTCACAGCATGTGCAGAACAACTGCCAATAAACCAGAGGGAGCTTACAGCTAATTTAGAGAGGGACACAGAAAAGCCAGGACACGTCCCCATGTCTGCCCAGAAGGAGGTTGAGCCCTCCCCCAGGCCCCTGCCTCAGGCTGTGCAGGGTGAAGGAAGCACACGTACATCTGTTGCCATGAGCTCCTCGCCATCATCCAGGTTGTCCACAGTCGTTACACCCTGAGAGCAGAAGTGGTAGTCGTAGGGGTTGAGGGAGAGCAGCAGCATATCTGTTGGGGGAAGACATGCATAGGGTGAGGCCAGCCTGACAGAGACAAAACTGAGGCAGAGGGGCAGCCTTGGGCACAGATGAAGAGATAAGACTTCAGGAGCCTCAACCAGAGGGCACCAGCTGGTGGGAAGAACTGCCTCTTCAAGCCCAGGAAGGTCCACACATGGGTCCATCTCTTCTGTGCTGTGCCTCCTGCTTGCTATCTTGGGATATGGCTTGGCTGCAGACTGATTTAGAAGTGGCCATCCATGTCCTTGTGACCACCAGATAAGATTACTGCTCTGCACAGCTGTCCAGACCTGCCTAATAAGGTATTGTTCTCAAGCCAGCAACAAGCTCAAGAGCCTGCAGCCAAGAGGCTGACCACCCCAGGGGACTGTGCCAACCATCGTTCTGCAGGGTGGAAAGGTTTCCTGAGCACTCTGTGTGACCTGGCACCTGGAAGACAGGGCTGCTCAGAGCACAAGGGCCCCAGGGCAAATATGGGTCAGCTGGGACCATCCTGGGGAACACGTCTCAGATATATCTACACCAGGGCCACTGCTGTGAGTGAGCTGTGCAGCTGTTTTCAAGCTCACCTGAAACAGATCATCTCACTAGGGTGGCTGAAGGAGCTCAGAGTAGGCTGCAAAACACTTCCCCCTGCCCCCAAATGAGTAAATAGCCAGCCTGCACATGTTGAGATCAGTGCTGTACCCACCACGCAATGAGGCAGCTTTGCAAAGTGTGCTCTCGCCCTGCAGACAGACCCTGAGTGACCACTTCTCTGCTCCTCTACAGTTGCAGGGAGGGCTTTAGTGTGGCCTCTCAGTCTGTGAGGATAAAGGAGGCTGGACCAGATGGCCTCTTGAAATCCCTTCCACCCTGAATTATCAGCCAATCTTATGCTCCTGCACAGCTAGCAGAGCATTCGAGGGCAGTACCTGCATGGTGAGCTGAGTTTGCTCATTCCCTGCGGACCCCAAAGCTGACAAGAGAGCTCTTTGTGGCTATTTTCAAGCCACCATGCTGCAAAGGCATGCTGCTCCAGCTTTGGCAGCCTTACCTTGCAGCTCTGGTTTCTTCCCAGAGAGAATCTGGTAGTAGATGTGGTAGCTTCGCTCTTTGGGTTGCTGGAAAATCACTCTTGATTTTTCCAGAAGATCTAGAAGCAAATAAGGCAGAAAGGTTAGAAGAGGGCTTGTTCTTTCCTGGAGCTGACCCAGCACCAGCACAAACAGTGAGATGACATCCCTCCCCACTGCAGTTGGCACACATTTACTCACAGATGTCGATGTCTGCAGAGGCCAGCTTCCCGGAGGGGCCGAAATGGATCCGGATGAACTTGCCCTGAAAACATGCACATCTAAGCACCGGGCTTGGCCACACCGGTATACTTCAGAACAGCTCCTACAAACTTCATATAACTACAAGACACCGGTAATTTCCCACTTTTTAGGCTTCTGCTGATGCCAGGCAAGTTACTGGGCTCTGTGAGGAGTAGGTGCATGAAGTTCTCTGGTTTGTAATGTGCAGAGGATCAGACAGCATCACCCAGAGCTTTAAACACTAGGGAGGCAGAAATTCCACCCACAGCAGATAAATCCCTGTCCTCAGGCCTGTTCTTAAAACAAAGCACTTCTGCAGGGCAGCATGATACTGGTTCTGCCCGCAGCCTCCTGCCCTGGGTGTGCTGAGGAATCTCACCCAGGACTGTCTCCTGTGCCTCCAAGCCACAAGAAGAGCCATCACAGCCACCTGTGGCTGATGAGCTCCTCACCCCACAGCACACCCAGGCTGGGCTTAGCAAAAGAGATGCTGCTCCCTGGAAGGGGCAAGCTTGTCTGTCCCAGCTCCAGCACTCCAAGCTGCGCTTACTGACCCTCGCAGCTTTGGCCCCGTAAGGGACTTCTCTCCAGCCACAGGCTGTGACACCAGGGCCATTCGTTCTGATCAGCACGCCATTTGCTGCACTGGTGTAAGCAGAAGAGGCTCGGCCTCAGCAGTCCCATCCCACCAGGAAGCAGAGCCAGCTTCCCGCTACGTGCCGTTGGCTCACAATACCACAAGCGATGCGTTCCGCTTAAATAAACGCGGCAGATGAGCTCTCTGCCTTGCTAAGGCACTCACAAAACGGGAAGAGTTGTCATTTCTTATGGTTTTGGCATTGCCAAAAGCTTCCATAGCTGGGTTAGCCTCGATGATTTGATCTTCGAGGGTGCCCTGGAAAACAAAACCAAAGGATGCGTCAGCTCCCACCCAGCTGGAGGGGATCTGTTACCAACACCACAGGGAAACAGAGTGGGGCTCCTTGCACCGGCCGCCTGCTACACTCCTTAGCTGTCTTTAAGAGCCTGCTGCTCCTGGGGCATCTTCTCATCTCATGAGGCAACACAGTTTGGGAGTCAGCAGAGCTCGGTTTTGCAGCAATGCTCTCTGTGGGCTTCTCCTTGCCTAAACTGGTCCCTCTGAAGATCCAGGCTACTGTCCCCTCTGCACACAGCAGTCCTTAGCCCTTCTTAGGCTGCTACAATGTGTAAAACAAGAGCAAGCATGCATTGTCAACACAACAGCCTGAAACATTTCAGGCTCTTTGGCTCTGCCAGGCATTTCTTCTTCCACCAAACTGAAGTCTTGGACAGTTCAAATCACAGCACATTGCAAAAGAAGAGATCCAGAAAACAGGCTTGATCTACGACTCCCTACACCACCAACACACACAGCGCAATGGGAGCACGTCACAGGTCCCAGCCAGTGTGCTCTGCTGAACTCACTGGAGCTCTCCTCAGCAAGCCCCAAGACTACCTTCCCCTAACCTTGTTTTTCTATTCATGTTTCACATGCACAGTCCAAAGATAAAGAGACAGCCTCCATCTAACTCAGCAAAGCAGGACAAGAATTCAAGGACAGAAGCAAGAGACTCGTGCCAAGCCACGCAAAGGACAGTGGGTTTTGACAACAGTAGTGGCAAAGGCACTGGCACAGGTGGCACAGGCACCTGCAGGATTTTTCATGAGAGCTTTTGCCCATGCTCTGACACTTTACAGTCCATAGGGCTTTCCTCAGGTAGGAAACACCAGCTCTGGGCTCTGCCCACCAACAGCCACGCTGTCTTGGCAGTGTTGGGCCCACGACTGCTCCCCACCTCTGCAGCTCCAGGCGTGTGAAGGGCAAAAGAGACAGGGAGCAGCTGTGAATCACAGCTTTACTGACAAACTGTGTTTTGTCACCAGGACATGCTTTGATCTGTTATCTCTGAATTCTGCCTCATCTAAAACTGCCTGGCCTGTGAGCTTCAATGGGGACTGCCCCATGGGCTGTCCCAGGACCCACGGATTCAGCCCCTCAGCTATATCTCTCTTAGTAAGTTTGCCCAAGTGGTCTGAGACTCATGGGTTAATGACATCCCCCAACCTCAGTGCTCAGGCAGAGAAACCGAGGACCAAGGATGTATGGCTGAGCTGCTGAAACAGCTGAGCCCTTGGGGTGCTGGGAGTGCCAGGGACTGAACCTTTGCTGGACTTCCAAAGGCACTCTGTCGGTTCCTTGGAGCTAAGCAAGCACCTCAGAAATGCACCCCAGAGAAGGACATCAGTTGCCTGCAATGTGGTGGGTCGAGCCACTTCAGGTCCTTGCAGAGGGTGGCATGTCCAGGCATCATCAGGGACCCGGTCTGCAGCCAGAGCACAGTGCTGCCCGTGGCAAAGAGGCTCTTCCCCTGCCCCTCAGCACCACCACCCTCAGCACCACCACCCTCAGCTGGGGAGGACACTAATGGCTCCACCTTATCCTTGGAGGAGCCCATGCCACCCCCAGGCAAACTGCACTGCATGTTTGAAGAGTAAAGATCCCTTGAAGGAGCGGTTGGAGTCAGAAAGGTAGAAAGTCACTAAGAGATGAAACACCAAAGCTTCAAACTATGGGAAGGTGGGAGATACAAAGCCAAGCGGAGAACTAAGCGCTGCCCAAGGCAGAGGCCCCACGCAGGCATTCCTCAACACCCCGCCGTAGCTCTGCGGTGCAGCAGAACTCTGTCCTCAGCATTACAGATTAGGAGTCTACGACACTTACCCCAGTCTTAGTGGCAAGAGCTGCCTAGAGAAAGGAAAGAAAATTGTCTTTAGAAATCCAGAAAAGCCAGGTAAGAACCGCAAGAAGCATGGTCAGAAAAGCAGGGCATGACCATTTAGTGCCAAAAAACGTCCAGGAAAAAAATGGGAGGATTAAACTTCAAAAGAGATGCCAAAAAGTTGTTAAATAGATTAGCTCAAGAAAACAAAGAAATGCGTCAAAAAGCAAGAACAGTTAAATCCAAACCCAAAGAAGAGTAAAGAAAATAATGCTCAAGTATTGCTTGTCTGATACCTAAAGCAGCCAGTTTGCTTCTACGAGGGAAAAGCAGGCTGGAGCCTCAACGTATCAAGAAGAAATAAGCACTTGCAAGGGCAGCTCAAAAATAACCAGCACCAAAGAAATGCAAGAATCAAAACAAGAGCAAGAAAAGCACAAGGTAGAAAAGGGTCAAAATGAACAAGAGGAGAAAAAAAGGAGAAAAGGATGAAAAGCAAGGCTTAAAAGAGGCAAGGTGGGAAATGGCAGGTGTACTCCATTCTTTTAGTGCTCCTTAAGAAGATCGGTGGGGTGTTGAAGGAGGAAGAGAAAATGAAGAGGGAGTCTAAGGCACCTCTTCCAGGCTGCACAGATTGAGCAGCAATGTAAAAAAAAATCCATTTCCCCTTGAGCAGAATAATTTCAAGCCTTGCTTGTTCAAAAGTCAGGGAAAAGCCAAGTCCTGGGTAGGTCAGACCAAAACACGCTTCCAAATGCAAAAAGTTGGGGGAAGAAAAAAAAAAAGTAAAAAGAAGAAGAAAGGAGGAGGGGGGAAAAAAAGAATAAATAAAGAAAGGAAGAAAACAGCAAGAACTTGTTTCAAAAGAGGGTCTTACTAATTTCTTGCCCGGTGCGTCGCCCAAGGCTGCGACAATGGCAAAGTACTGAATGACCCGCTTGGTGTTTACAGTCTTACCAGCACCAGATTCTCCGCTTAGAGTAACAGAAATACACAGATCAAGGACACGAGGCAAAGAACAGGCAAAACTTCAAACAGAGACCCTGCCGACCTGCCGCCCCGCTTGGCATGCCGGGAGGGAGAAGCAAAGCATCGGAGGGATGGGGACGCTGGCACTATCAATCCCCTCCAGCCTGGGGGTGTACGTGCTTGTCTTTGGGGCTTGTCTTTGGATTGAAACCCAGCTCCATCCTCGCCATGTCCTCCAGCTCTGAGCCCAGGCTCTGCCTGCCTCCTCCGAGGTGCCGCGGGGGGTCAGCTGCCCGCCGCAGATATGGCAGGGGGGGGCG